TTATTTTATGATGTTTGAATATTATGTAAAGTTTTAAACTAAATAAAAAATTAGGGATAAAATGACCAAAATGCCTCTGGAGATCGTTAAGAGATTTCAAGACTCAAGCACCATATGTAAGGGCATATATTTACTCAAACTTTCAACAAGTTTAGAAAAGGTTGAGAACGGGATAAATGACCAAAATTTTCCTATAAGGACTTTAGGAAGTTTTCAAGATCATAAGGTTATAGAACACGTTACACGTATAAGCCTCGAAAGGACAAAGTTACCCTAATGATCCTTCACTAAGATTCTGTTGGGATCGATACCAGTCGTTAGCTTTGATACCCGTTGTTGGGATCAATACCAGTCGTTAGCTCTGATACTAGTTGTTAGGATCGCACAACAACGCACACGTTCGATCTAGATGAACACAAAGAACAGGATAGAGAAAATTGCAAGGAGAACTCTGGCTAAAAGGATTTTTTTTTACTGATGACTTCAATTATGTACAACAAGAGAGAGTACAGAGAATAGAAAGTACATTTTCAAAGCTCTACCGAACCAAATACACCTTGTTCATAGCCGACGATTTTTCGTACATATTCGACAGCGTCTTCAACAAACCTGACGTTGTCTTCTCCCTGATAATGTTGAATGTCATGTTTCTGGATAGCGTCAACTGGATGAGCCCCAAAGCTTGTCGATCCTTGAGCTTCCACTGTTCCGTGGTCATGGTATCCAGCTTCACCCTCAACAGAGGTTCGTGAAGATCTTTCTGGTACAGATAATCTTCAATCTGCATCTTCTAGAAACCGAAATCGGATCCATCAAACTTCTCAATTCCAATCTTTGAACTTTCCATCTTCACAAATCATGGTGAATTTCGCCTAGCTCTGACTTCCGCCTGGCTCAAATCCTTTTAGCCAGAGTTCTCCTTGCAATTTTCTCTATCCTGTTCTTTGTGTTCATCTAGATCGAGCGTGTGCGTTGTTGTGTGATTCTAACAACTAGTATCAGAGCTAACGACTGGTATCGATCCCAACAACTGGTATCAGAGCTAACAACTGGTATCGATCCCAACAGATTCAGAATCCTTCTAGATTTTTCAAGGATCGGAGTATATTATGGCCTTATAATACTTTGAATAGCTTATGCATGTAATTATGGAATGTTCTAAGAATTCTCTTTTTTTATCATCAATTGAATCACTGATGAAGACCCAGGATTCTATTTTATCATCAATCCAATCACCGATCCCATTTTTATTTTTCTTATCAATGAATATATTTATTTACTTGTATGACTTAGATGTCTTGTATTTCTCGAAAAAGCAATTCGATTGATGGGATTGAGATTGATATTCTAATATTTCTTCTTCGTATGTATTGATTTGACCCTATAAGCGGGACCGCCACCCCGTAGCATGTTGCCACTAGAAGCAGAACCCCATATTTCTTCTAGATGTTTAGACTATGCTGCTTAGAATGTCTGAAGCTTTGGTCATAGATTCCTAGTCTGTGCCGCTCGGAACATTTGAAGCCTTGAATGCAGGTTTCAGAGTACATCGTTTGAACGTAAGAAGATTTTTATGTAAGTTTCATCGATATTGTAGGGAACGTATGAAGCTCTGAATGTCGGTTTAGACTATGTCACTTGGAACGCAAGCCTTTGATGTAGGTTCAAATTAGGGGTGTACATTCAACCCGACAATCTAGACTAACCCAACTCGAACTATAAGGGTTGGGTTAGGTTCATTTTTCTGAACTCGAACTGAATCGGTTTGGTTTCGGGTTCGTGGGATAAAACCTTCGGTTGACTCGAGCCAAATAAAAATATATAAAATATATTAAGAATTCTTCCATATTAATGGGTTTGCCGTCTAAAAACACACACGACCAAGTTCGACGACAGACAAATACATGTTTTTTTTTAATTATCTTATTTAATTTCTTTTATATTATTTTGTTATTATATTATTTTTAATTTGTTTGAAATCCTACTGTATTTATTATTTATTTGTTGCACTATTATTATATCACAATTTATATATATTTTTATTTTTTTTAATAGTTTAGAACTCTCTAATCAACTTATAAATAAACATATTTCAATTAAAATATATTTATATATTTTTTATTTTTGTTATATACAATATATTTAAATTAATTATTTTTATTGCTTACTTAATTTTATAATCTATTCTTATATTTTTCTTACTTTTTAACAAAAAAAATTTTCAAGAAAGATAAGTATTCCGTTGTTTTTAATTTTATAACAATATTGAACTATGTCAATTATGTTACAATTTTTACTAATTGTTTTTCATTGATTTTTTTTTTGAATAATTATAGATTGATTTGTATTTGTTTGTGAACTCTTAATATATTTTATCTAAGATTGTATCCGAATAATTATAATTAGGGATAAATAAAACTTTAAAAAAAAATTGACAACCCAACCTAACCCAACTCAACCCAACCCGAACCCAACCAAAAAAGAGAGGATTGGGTTGGGTTGTGAAAAGTTTCAGGCCAAATTTTTGGTTGGGGACAAAAAAAAAAATCCTTCAACTCAACCCAACAAAGACCATGTACACCCCTAGTTCAAACTGTATCGTTTGGAATGCATAAAACCTTATACACGGGTTGTCAAGTTCATGTCTTGTACTGTAAGTCATAGAGAGAGTGTCTTAAACGAGAAATAAAAACAAAAACTTGACTTAGGACAAGGACTAAGAACTAAAGTTAACTGACTACAACATGGATCAAGATTCAAGTTTGTATACCTCAATACTAAGACCCTTAGGCTAGAAACAAAATTAAAAACTTAAAATTCAATAACATAATTTAAGGGCCTATGTTCTCATGTCAAGAATAAGAACATGACAAGAATGAGTGTGGTACCCTAGCACACTTTAAGGACACCATTAAAAGCGTACGAGTAGACTATTAATTGAATTTTTGTACTCATTCAAGTTTTCTCATGTTTTTCCGATGACAAGAAGGAACTAGTTAAAAATGGATGTGGATCTAGAACAAGTGTCATACAAAGACACACCGTGTTTAAACATCTTTAAAATTCTAACTTGTTTTATTTACTCGGCTTTGTGTATTCTTTAATTTAAATTTGTAAGTAAAATATATTTATGTTTTGAACATGAAAAATTATCGTAATTTGTTTTGTTTTCATGTTTTTAATGTAGTCCCGACTCAGAGTCAGAAAAATCAGGTCATGACAGATGGATTGAACCGACAAAATTGGGACAAATCAGTCCAACTAGATTGGACTAGCCGATTGGATTGAATTGGTCCTACTCAACAGTCATTCCCTAACTTTAGTACACGAGGAGGGCAACAATTGCTTCAAATTTCTTCCACAAATTGATTGCTCAAACACTCAAATCTCTATAAAAACAAAAATCTTCAACGATCCGTTTCTAACTCGAACTTTTTCAACGAGTTAATTCTTACGAACAAATCGATAATCTCGAACATTGACATGAGGATAATTCTATCATCCCAATCCTCGTCATCCCTAGAGAAAATTAGAGAAAATCAACGCTTAACATGTGGTATTACACAAATAAATACGAATTTAAAAGTTCGAAATTTGTAGTTTAATGGGTTTTTATATGATTCTTAGAGATTACATATCTAAATATTAATATTGATTTTGTTTGGCTTCTTTCATATGAGAATATATTTGACCCTTATCTTGTCAACATTAAAAAATTGCAACTGTCTATGAGATTAGTTGGACTAAAGTCATGATTTCCAATATATCTCAAAACATCATTAGCTTACCCAATGAATAGAATAAAATAGAAAATAGGAGGCTCTTAGAATAAATTTAATATAAAAAAACACGGGAATAAGTCAGTTTTGTTTTCGTAAAATTATAAATTAAGCCTCTGAGATCCCACGTCGGATGGAGAGGGGAACAAAGCATTCTTATGTGAAAACCTTCTCCCTAACAAACGCGTTTTAATATTGTGAGACAGACAACTATACGTAACAGGCCAAAACAGACAACATCTACTAGCGGTGAGCTTGGACGAAGAGTCTCTAATAGGTCCATGAATGTTTAATTTTATGTATAACAGGTCTGTAAATATTTAAAATGTCGGAAGAAAAAAAAGAAAAGTTAACTTATTATATAATGGCCTAACTTATAGTTTTTTAGAATTACAGAACGTATTTGAGATCAGGAACTAAACATGTAATTTAACCTAAAATTTTAGCACTATCATCATCTAATTAATCCGCGAGATATTGAACGTCTTTATTATGGCGACGTAAGAATTACCTACGAGTTTAGAGACTAAACATGTAATTTGACCTAATGTTTTAGCACTATCATCCTCTAATAGATATGCCAGTTTTGAACCAACCAAAACTCCAACTTTTGCCAACATGACAACAAGCACAAACTAGCAGTAAGGTGTGAACTGAATGATCAAAGTATCAGTTGCTTTTACTTGTGGTCTTCTTTGACCGCCATGAGGAACCCCTCTCTTCTTCCGTTCATGTATATCATGTTCCAAAGTTAGTGTTTGTACATTGTACTCTTCCCACTCTTAAAACTTTCATTCATGTCAATGTAGTACCATGTCAGTATCCTTTTTATACACAAATGGTTAGCTACATCAGAACTACTAATTTAGATATTAATAAGACTATAAGGACTGATTCGATAAATATTACCATGCATAACAACCAAAATGTTAAGAACATCGGGCTAAAACTAAAGTCACGTTCTAGTTCAAACTCTAGTGTATAAGAATCTTAAGTCACATTCTAGTTCAAGCTCTAGTGTATAAGAATCAAAACCAAACTTTACGAGAATTAGTTCAAACCCTGCGAGATAGAGCTCTATGACACTTGCTAAAGATAATAAAATCATACAAGAGAGGCACGTAGTAGATTTGTCTAATCTTACAACTGTCAAAGCTACATAGCTACACACCAGCCGAACATAGTTCAACTGGTTAGAAAGCAGAAGAAAAGGACTAAATCTACCCCTAAAACTCATCTTTTTTTCTTTTAATTTTTTGTTGTCATGATTATGATTAGGTTGACAAAATCGGGAAGGGAATATTTCCAAGAGAAATATGTATACAGGAAAACCATTCTGATCTCTACATTCCTAAGGAGAGCAGCATGAAGATGGGAAGAAATAAAAATAAAATAAAATGTAAAAATCAAGGAAAATGAAAAGTTTTCTCAAATTATTAACTACACCATGGTGGTAATACCATTGTATCTTGGCCTTGTTCTATCTGGTGAAAGTCCATCTTCCATGGCCTTCCTCTTGTTGTTGTTCGATTGTTGCGGCGGCGTTGGTGGGAGTATTTGCAACTGTTCTTGCTCTTGTGGCAGCGTCGGCAGCAGTGGAACGGATAGCAATCGATCTTGATCTTGCAGCGATGTCGGGACTACCTGCAACGGTATCGATCGTAATCGTTCTTGTTCATGTTGTTCATGTTGTTCATGCTGTTCATGTTGTTGCTGCTCTGGTGCTTGGGGTTGGCTTGCTGAATCAGGCTGTTCTTCTGATGTTTTGAGTTTGGTTTTCAACATGTGGGGTCTAAGCCGGTTGACATCTGAAAGTCGGACAGGTTTCAAGAAGAATTCCTCTGCTCCTTCTTCTAAGCATCTGTTTCCAATCAGAAAATTCCACCCTTCAATCAGATTCAAATCTCTATGCTAATTATTCTAATAATTCAAGAACATTTGTGTAACGACCCTAAATTCCTACATATTCAGAGCAACTTCAAACTTCTCGAAAACGCTAATTAGTTATGTCGCTACTAAAGTCACATACTCATCTCTTAATGCAGAAACAGAACATCATTTATAAGATAAACTTTGAAAAAGTTCAGAAAAACTTCAAACTTCTAGAAAACGCTAATTATTCTAATAATTCAAGAACATTTGAATCATAATCATCATCATGATCTACCTATTGATTCTTGCAGGAACATTCTCAGATGACATAATCACAACGGGAATGTTTCTCAGAGCTTTAGACCCCTGCAAAACCAGAGAAACTCCTTCAGAAACACTTCCCAGGTTCAGTTTGTTTGAATGGAAAATATAATTTGTCAGAATTTCTTGGATAATGTTACCAAAAATGAAACGAAATCTCAAAATCTCTAGATACAACAAGGACCCAGATAGTAAAAATCTAATTTAGGCATCGGAAAAGCAAATTTCCCTTCAGAGGCATTTTAACAAACACTTGGTGTGCAGTACAGAACATAAAGGTATCAAAAGGCAGAAGATGAAGCAAAATACCTTGATCTTCTTCAATAAATCATAGCCAGTCATCTCAGGCATACAGTAATCAGTAATAACAAGATTCACATCCACTTCCTGAAGAAATCCACAAAAGAAAGAGGGGGAAAAAAAAAAGTGAACAAACAAGAAATCCACCACAAATTGAAAACCCAGAACGGAAAAACGTGTAAAAACATTGAGAAAAGCCAGATCAAAAGGCAAGATAAGAAACAAACCTGATGATGATGATGATGGTTAGATGCAAGAGAAGGAATCGAGTTATTTCCGGAGTCATATCCTAAGAACTCCAGAGCTTTACTCCCAGAATCAACCGTAGTAACTGCGATAGAAGAAGGCACAAAAACGCATAAGAAAAACAAAAACAAAATCCTCAAATTTCCCAAAAAAAAAAACAGGATTCGATTCATCCAGTGTGCATACCTTGATAAGAGGAGGTTTTGAGGAGCCTTTCAATCAATTTCCGGTCGATGACGCTATCATCGACGGCAAGAACATGGAATTTGGAGTCGGAAACCATGCCCATTGCAGCAACAGAAGATCCCATACACAGGGAAGGTGAAGAAGAAGGGGATTTTTCAGAGAGAGGGCGGAGAGAAATGAAGAATGGTGGATGAAGAAGGAGAAGGAGGTGAAGATGAGAAGAGATGATAGCTTTGTACTGAAAACAAAGACCCACCAAAATCCACATCCCACAAAGCAAGATCCGACCAGATTTCCTCACCAAATCTTGCAATATTTTTCCAAGATGATATACTTTGAATTACAAGGCAACCAATATTAACCCCCCAACGAAGAAAATAAAAATTATAAAAAAAATAAAACCATTTTTCCCATATAATATTGAACCAAAATCTTTTATTTTTCAAACCTCTAAGATTCTCTTTTCTTTTTTTTAGGGGAACGGGTGTCAGTGAGGATGCTGATGGGAAGTGAATTGTGAGAGCCCACATCGGTTGAGAGTGATATGAAACATTCTTTACAAGGGTGTAGAAACCTCTTCCTATCAGACTCGTTTTAAAAACTTTGAGGAGAATCCCTAAAGGGAAAACTCAAATAAGACAATATCGGTTAGCTTGGAGGGTTACAAATGGTATTAAAGTTAGACAACGGGCGATATGCCAGTTAGGACGCAGAGCCCCGAGGGAGATGGACAGCGGACGGTGTGCCAGCGAGGACGTTGAGGCTCGAGGGGGATGGACAGAGGACAGTGTACCAGCGAGGACGTTAAGGCTCGAGGGGGATGGATAGCGGGAGTGTGCCAGTGATGACGCTAGGACCCGAAGGGGGATGGATTGTGAGATCCCTTGGGGCATGGACATCGAGCAGTGTGCCAGCGAGGATGTTGGGAATCCCTAGGGGCATGGACATTAGGCAATGTGTCAGGGAGGACGCTGGGCCCTGAAGGGGGTGGATTGTGAAGTCCCTTGGGGCATGGATATCTAGCAGTGTGCCAGCGATGATGTTCGGAATCCCTTGGGGCATGGACATCAGACAATGTGCCAACGAGGACGCTGGGCTCCGAAGGGGGTGGATTGTGAGATCTCATATCCATTGTTGAGGGGAAGCTCAAAAGGGAAAACTTAAAAAGGACAATATCTACTGGCAGTAGGATCTGATCCTCACTGTATGACTTAATTGTATGACTTAATTGACCTAATATTGTCTCTTCTCTCATGAGCGGTTGTCTATGGATAGCTCGATGGATAAAATGGTAATTACTATTTTAATGGTTGATGGTTCGATCTTATTTCTATAATGGTCGTAGAATTGTCGAGAAGATTTCAATGGGTAAGAATTAGTTTGTAAATCAACTTTACTTTATAATGAATTAATCGATAAAAATACAAATTTTAATTATAAATATATATATTTTAAAATAAAGATTATTTCTTTATTTCTTTATTTCTTTAACAAAAAGGGGTAGCCATTGACATTTTAGGGGAATATAAATTTATAAAAAGATAAGAAATTTCCTTTTCTTTTTTTCTTTCTTTATTTTATTTTATAAAATGAAATTATAATGTTATGAAATGAAAAGGAAAGGAAGGAGAGAGGGTTGGACCCACCCAAATGAAAGTACATACAGTTGATGTCAGAAAATGGTTTTTTTTTTTTTTTTTTTTTTTTTTTTTTTTTTTTTTTTTTTTTTTT